AGCGCAGGATGCTTGGGGGCAGTGCAGGACGCTCCGTGGTTACTGGGGGGTGAGTGGGCAGTGCAGGATGCTTGGGGGCAGTGCAGGACGCTCTGCGGTCACTGGGGGGTGAGGGAGCAAAGGGGAGAGTGGGCAGCGCAGGATGCTTGGGGGGCAGTGCAGGACGCTCCACGATCACCGGGTGGTGCAAGACAATCTCCGCGGTTACTGGGTGGCACGGGACGCTCCGTGGTTCAGCTTAGGCATGGCACCGTGTTGCTCGAATGCCCAGCAGTGCTTGGTTTTCCAGTCTGAAGCTGGCACCAATCTGTAGAGCTGCCTCCACATTGGCCCTGATGCTCCGGGGGAAGGGCCCCGAAGTGTCAGGGGCCTTGCTCCTGGACCGGAGCTGATGCTGTATCAGAAAACAGATGAGTGATAAAAGCTGCACTGTCCATGAATAGTACTGTTGCCATGGTTGCATGAATGACACATTTACATGTATTTGACCACCACAGAGCTGGATGTAGATTGGAACGGAAAGATTACAGATTCAGGGTGGAACCTTCTTCTGAGTCTAGGCTCGGCCCTGGGGCCACCATTCGGACCGCACCGCGGTGGGAGTACTTGTGGTTCTCCGCCCTGAATGGATTCTGTGTCTTGGATGGAGCCATTCTCCTGTCTGCGGTCTGAGTTCTGCAGGACCGGACTTGTCCCTGACACCCTCCAGGTGGATGGTGGGTGGAGACGGGGAACGTCTGTGACATGTGGGGATTTGCCGCGTCTCCACTCGGCATTCCTGTCTCATTAGAGGGAATGTGCAGGAGGGGTCTGGAGGCAGCCATTGCTGAGCTCTCCCGGACATGCTCGTTCCTTGGTTGTCATGCCAAGCCTTTGGCTTCACTCATTTCTGACCTGGGACTCAGTGCAGTGAAGACAGGCAGCCAGGAAATGAGCATTTCCACAGCAGCTCAGCAATGGTAGCTCTGCATGAGGCTTCTGTTTGTACCGCAGCTGGTGTGTATAACCATATACAAGGCTGGTGCAGCTTGTGGTGTGAATTGTATAAACGGATCACATGGTACCGATCCACCCATCCCTATTATTTATTCATGCCGAAAGGATCCGTCTGCCCAAAAGTCACCCCCCCCAATGGCTTCCTAATCCCTTGAGAGCCCCATCAGTGATCTCTTATTCCCATCCACCTTGGGGTGTGTTCAACCCGTGTGCCAGGAATGGTGGGAGCCCCTCATAATGGGCACAGCAGGTGTACAGACCCGGGAACTCAGCACAGGGATGGTGGGAGCCCCTCATAATGGGCACAGCAGGTGTACAGACCCGGGAACTCAGCACAGGGATGGTGGGAGCCCCTCATAATGGGCACAGCAGGTGTACAGACCCGGGAACGCAGCGCAGGGATGGTGGGAGCCCCTCATAATGGGCACAGCAGGTGTACAGACCCGGGAACTCAGCACAGGGATGGTGGGAGCCCCTCATAATGGGCACAGCAGGTGTACAGACCCGGGAACTCAGCACAGGGATGGTGGGAGCTCCTCATAATGGGCACAACAGGTGTACAGACCCAGGAACTCAGCACAGGGATGGTGGGAGCCCCTCATAATGGGCACAACAGGTGTACAGACCCAGGAACTCAGCACAGGGATGGTGGGAGCTCCTCATAATGGGCACAGCAGGGGTACAGACCCAGGAACTCAGCACAGGGATGGTGGGAGCTCCTCATAATGGGCACAGCAGGGGTACAGACGAGTCTGTCATTGGGTATGACTGTCCAGCATCCTCCTCACACTGAGATGTTCCTCCTCTGCCTGGTGACCCTCATGTGAATTGGTTTTCCTGATACCTTGCCCAGTAGTTTGCTCTTCTCTCCGTATAATACATTATATTGCAGATTTGTTGGTCGGTGTGTGTGGCATTGCAGATAAAACTGTGGCCTGTGTGTTTCTGTGTCTGGGATGCCATTAGCTCTGGGGGCGACATGGAGGATGTTGTAGCTCAGACATCTGTAAAATGCGCTGTTTTCTTCTGTTTGCAGGAGGTGCCGCCACCATGAAGAGTAGCGTCCCCGGCGAATCCGGAGCAACGGTATGTACAGGGTTGGGGCTCGGGAGGTCTGGGCAGTCTGTGGTCTCGGTTTTGGCGGTAGGGAGGTCTGTGATCTTAGTATTAGTGGTAGGGAGGTCTGTGATCTCAGTATTAGTAGTAAGGAGGTCTGTGATTTCAGTATTAGCGGTAGGGAGGTCTGTAATCTCAGTGTTGGCGGTAGGGAGGTCTGTAATCTCAGTGTGGGCGGTAGGGAGGTCTGTAATCTCAGTGTTGGCGGTAGGGAGGTCTGTGATCTCAGTATTAGCGGTAGGGAGGTCTGTGATCTCAGTATTAGCGGTAGGGAGGTCTGTGATCTCAGTGTGGGTGGTAGGGAGGTCTGTGATCTCAGTATTAGCGGTAGGGAGGTCTGTGATCTCAGTATTAGCGGTAGGGAGGTCTGTAATCTCAGTATTAGCGGTAGGGAGGTCTGTAATCTCAGTATTAGCGGTAGGGAGGTCTGTAATCTCAGTATTAGCGCTAGGGAGGTCTGTAATCTCAGTGTGGGCGGTAGGGAGGTCTGTAATCTCAGTGTTGGCGGTAGGGAGGTCTGTAATCTCAGTGTGGGCGGTAGGGAGGTCTGTAATCTCAGTGTTGGCGGTAGGGAGGTCTGTGATCTCAGTATTAGCGGTAGGGAGGTCTGTGATCTCAGTATTAGCGGTAGGGAGGTCTGTGATCTCAGTGTGGGTGGTAGGGAGGTCTGTGATCTCAGTATTAGCGGTAGGGAGGTCTGTAATCTCAGTATTAGCGGTAGGGAGGTCTGTAATCTCAGTATTAGCGGTAGGGAGGTCTGTAATCTCAGTATTAGCGCTAGGGAGGTCTGTAATCTCAGTGTGGGTGGTAGGGAGGTCTGTAATCTCAGTATTGGCGGTAGGGAGGTCTGTAATCTCAGTATTGGCGGTAGGGAGGTCTGTAATCTCAGTGTGGGCGGTAGGGAGGTCTGTGATCTCAGTGTGGGCGGTAGGGAGGTCTGTGATCTCAGTGTGGGCGGTAGGGAGGTCTGTGATCTCAGTGTGGGCGGTAGGGAGGTCTGTGATCTCAGTATTAGCGGTAGGGAGGTCTGTGATCTCAGTATTAGCGGTAGGGAGGTCTGTAATCTCAGTGTGGGCGGTAGGGAGGTCTGTGATCTCAGTGTTGGCGGTAGGGAGGTCTGTGATCTCAGTATTAGCGGTAGGGAGGTCTGTGATCTCAGTATTAGCGGTAGGGAGGTCTGTGATCTCAGTATTAGCGGTAGGGAGGTCTGTAATCTCAGTGTGGGCGGTAGGGAGGTCTGTAATCTCAGTGTTGGCGGTAGGGAGGTCTGTGATCTCAGTATTAGCGGTAGGGAGGTCTGTGATCTCAGTATTAGCGGTAGGGAGGTCTGTGATCTCAGTGTGGGTGGTAGGGAGGTCTGTGATCTCAGTATTAGCGGTAGGAAGGTCTGTGATCTCAGTATTAGCGGTAGGGAGGTCTGTAATCTCAGTATTAGCGGTAGGGAGGTCTGTAATCTCAGTATTAGCGGTAGGGAGGTCTGTAATCTCAGTATTAGCGCTAGGGAGGTCTGTAATCTCAGTGTGGGTGGTAGGGAGGTCTGTAATCTCAGTATTGGCGGTAGGGAGGTCTGTAATCTCAGTATTGGCGGTAGGGAGGTCTGTAATCTCAGTGTGGGCGGTAGGGAGGTCTGTGATCTCAGTGTGGGCGGTAGGGAGGTCTGTGATCTCAGTGTGGGCGGTAGGGAGGTCTGTGATCTCAGTGTGGGCGGTAGGGAGGTCTGTGATCTCAGTGTGGGCGGTAGGGAGGTCTGTGATCTCAGTGTGGGCGGTAGGGAGGTCTGTGATCTCAGTGTGGGCGGTAGGGAGGTCTGTGATCTCAGTATTAGCGGTAGGGAGGTCTGTGATCTCAGTATTAGCGGTAGGGAGGTCTGTAATCTCAGTGTGGGCGGTAGGGAGGTCTGTAATCTCAGTGTTGGCGGTAGGGAGGTCTGTGATCTCAGTATTAGCGGTAGGGAGGTCTGTGATCTCAGTGTGGGCGGTAGGGAGGTCTGTGATCTCAGTGTGGGCGGTAGGGAGGTCTGTGATCTCAGTGTGGGCGGTAGGGAGGTCTGGACGGTCTGTCATGTCATTGTTGGGGATATGGGGGGTATTGTTGGGTAATTTGTGTTCCTTTCTGGGGTCACAGTTGGAAGTGAACTCTCTGCTGTCTCCTCCTCTAGATGCCCAGCGCATCGGGTCAGTTTGGCACACAGACAATGAAGAAGATTGGACATCGGAGTGTAGACTCTACAGGGGAGACCACATATAAGAAGGTACGTGCTTCCCGTTATCTTATGAGCTGCTGTGTATGAAGACATGTTGACTCACTGACCTCTCTCTGACAGACCACGTCTTCTGCACTGAAAGGAGCCATCCAGCTCGGCATCACACACACGGTCGGCAGCCTTAGCACCAAGCCTGAGAGAGATGTCCTAATGCAAGACTTCTATGTGGTAGAGAGTATTTTCTTCCCCGCGTACGTATCCAATTGGCATTGCGATCTGTTGCTCCTCCCCTTTATGCATTGATACCCCTCCCACCATTCTATCTTGTATTCTTTTGTATGCACTCCATATTATGCAATATGCTCTGTACCTTCATAGCGCCCTCTAATACCCCCTGTACGGCCTCATTGCCCTCTAGTATCCCGTGCAATATGCTCTATACCTCCATAGCGCCATCTAGTGTCCCATATACTACCCCCTGTATCTCCTTGGTGCCCTCTAGTGTCCCATATAATACACTCTGTACCTTGTTTGAGCCTTCCTGTAAAATATGCTCTGTACCTCCATAGCGCCCTCTAGTGTCCCATATAATACCCCTTTACCTCCTGGGTGCCCTCCAGTGTCCTGTACAATATGCTCTGTACCTCCCATGGCACCCTCTAGTGTCACATATAATACCCCTGTACCTCCTGGGTGCCCTCCAGTGTCCTGTACAATATGCTCTGTACCTCCCATAGCGCCCTCTAGTGTCCTGTACAATACTCTGTACCCCCAGTGCCCTGTATAATACAATATAAGGTATATGACTTGCTTAATATATCGGAGCAATTAATAATTAATTGGAAAAAATGTAAATAGTAGCCAAGGGGAGCCAGCACATATAAAATATATAATTTCTTGGGTTTGGCTTAGCAGGTTGACCATCACCACTTGTAAATGCTGATAAATACATGCACACTGCTACTCGAAATCAGCCTTTCAGTCTTGGTCTGTTTGAAGCAAACAAGGTAAACATAACTGGAAGAGGCCGTTGGAATGTTCATGTAGCGTGTGGAAATGTACTGTATATGATCATATTGTATAAATACACAGAAACCTCCACACGTGGTATCTCTGCTTTGCCAGCGCACACACGTCTGGTATAGACCAGCAATGTTGAGTTCTTGTTGAACCCATTGACGGTCCCGGGAACAAAATCCGGCAGCTCAGCAGGAAATAATATCACAAATGAAATACCTCTGTGGATCACCGCGGTCCCTGTGCATTGTAAACTGATGTCGCAGTCCAGATAGCTGAAGAATGAGATCCATTATGTGAAACTGTCATGTCCTGTGTAGCAGGTTATATGGAATCCGCATTCCGGATCAAGGTGTGCGTCCCTGCAGGTAGAAAAAGCGCGCTTCTAGGCTTTCGGTCGTGGTTTTGGACACTTTTGGGTCCTCCCATCCGATGTGGTTTTATTGGACTGGTCAGAGGAGTAATATTCATGGAGTTTCTTTTACAATCATGTTAAACAGCAACAATAGACACAAGAAATGAAGAGAAGTGACCAAATCCAGTGCAAAGAACAGCATGGAATGGCACCATAGAGGAGCAATATGGAATACAAACAGGATTAACAAAAGTGCAAAATAATCCGTATTTAGGGAGTGAGCACCAATGGCAAAGTACCTTTTTCTTACCACCTCTGTGCCCTTTATTGTCCTTTTGTAGTACAATTCGTACTCCTCAGCGCCCCCTAGTGTCCTGTATATCACAATCTGTACCCCCACGGCACCCTCTAGTGTCCTGTATATCACAATCTACCACCACGGCACCCTTGTGTCCTGTATCACAATCTGTACCACCTGTGTGCCCCCTAGTGTTCTATACGGCACGCTCTGTACCTCCTGTGTTCCCTCTAGTGTTCTATACGGCACGCCCTGTAACTCCTGTGTGCCCTCTAGTGTTCTATACGGCACGCTCTGTACCTCCTGTGTGCCCTCTAGTGTTCTATACGGCACGCTCCTGTACCGCCTGTGTGCCCTCTAGTGTTCTATACGGCACGCCCTGTACCTCCTGTGTTCCCTCTAGTGTTCTATACGGGACGCTCTGTACCTCCTGTGTTCCCTCTAGTGTTCTATACGGCACGCCCTGTACCTCCTGTTTTCCCTCTAGTGTTCTATACGGCACGCCCTGTACCTCCTGTTTTCCCTCTAGTGTTCTATACGGCACGCCCTGTACCTCCTGTGTTCCCTCTAGTGATCTATACGGCACGCTCTGTACCTCCTGTGTTCCCTCTAGTGTTCTATACGCCACGCTCTGTACCTCCTGTGTTCCCTCTAGTGTTCTATACGGCACGCTCTGTACCTCCTCTAGTGTTCTGTATAGGACGCTCCGTTATCTTCCATGCAATACAACCTGTACCTCTGCTCCCTCTAGTGGTCTGACTGAGCTCTCTCTCTCTCCCTTTTTCCTGCAGCGAGGGCAGCAATCTCACCCCTGCCCATCACTACAATGACTTCCGATTCAAGACGTACGCTCCAGTTGCTTTCCGCTACTTTCGGGAGCTCTTTGGCATTCGGCCAGACGATTATTTGGTAAGTCAATATTTGTATCAGTTGTACTGTGACTGTGCTGGCACGGAGCTGCGTGTGCGTGGCCAATAGGTGACTCGATTGCTTTAATTAAATAGTATCTTTTTCTTGCAGTATTCCCTGTGTAATGAACCCTTGTTCGAGCTGTGTAATTCTGGAGCCAGCGGGTCCCTCTTTTATGTGTCCGGGGATGACGAGTTTATCATTAAGACGGTTCAGCACAAGGAGGCTGAGTTCTTGCAGAAGCTGCTGCCTGGATATTACATGGTAGGTGGCACCGAGCCCTGGGTCATACAATGTGCTGCTGGCGGGGTGGGAAGAGTACCCTCGGTTGTGTATAACGGGAGG